AGAGCTACCGCAGCCCCTCCACCGAAGCCCTAAACCGCTGCAACAGATCCCAAGACGCCGCAGCCACCGCCAGGGTCGAAATGACCGAGCTCGAAAAGATCAGCTTCGATTCCGACTGGCTGGATCCGGCTCCTCCATTCCCATCCAGCCAAATCCAAACCCTCCCAGGACCTTTCGAGCCTGATACCGCACATTGGTACGGAACACTCCTCCCAACCATCCGTTCTATCTGGGATTTCCCTACGCCCACTATCTACCACGCGGCATGGATCCTTGAGGAGAGCTCGGCGTGTTTCTTCGTTACGGCCATGGCGAAGTACTTCGCGGTTCACGGGCCTATGGAGGCTGAGAATGATTGGCGTGAGCCGAATGAGGCGAAGGGTGATGAGATTTGGCTCTTGTTGAATGTTCGGGAGTGTCTGCGCGTTAGTCTGGCACATGAGAGGGCCAGGGCTGCTGAGTTGACTCGGAATATTGAGTTGTTTCGGGATGTGGTTGCTGCTCGTGTCGGGACTTTCGAGCCCTAGCGGCTTTTGTTCTGTTTGTTCTTTTTTACTTGCTTTGCGATACCTGGGAGTGAGAACTTAGTTTGTAGTGAGAGTTAGGGAGTCCAATATTGAATGTTGGGCCTAATGGCTCGATTCTTAAAAGCTTTCGCTCTATGGCCACGTACTAGGCTTTTATTGCTTTTAGTTCTCTTTTAGAAGCTGAACTTCTACATATATGTAGGGACAAGTTGACAATGATGGAATGATGGCTTCACGAATGTAATTGATAGAATTCTCATGTGATATTTACTATTAGATATAGCTGTGTGTAGAAGGTTAGAGTGAAATTAGAGCCAGGTCGAAGTAAGGCTTAGACCTAAGGGTATTTAAGAATGAACTCCTTTACCTAGCACGTCACTTCGGCCTACTCCTAAAAGAGGATTTAGGCCCTCTTACTCCAACATCTATCCCCTTTCATTTAAATACTCCCATTGATCATCCGGATATCCTCCACACCCATATCCCTCCTCCCCTTCACCAACACCCCAATCCAAAAGAAGCAGTCACGTCGAATCTGTGGCTGCTCCGCCCCTTCTCAAAGCCCAAGATCCCGACCATCCATACAGTGGTCTTCACGCCTCGCACATTTTTCCTCCAAGCCAGATTGCACAACGGGAACGCGAAAACTACCCACGGTATATCACCGACCCCAGTCCTGCCTCCAAGTTTGGAAGCAGCAAGCTCTACTCTCCCCAAAACGGCCTACTTCTTATATTTCTGCCTATGAAGCGTCCAATAGGTTCAGAATTGGAGTCGATCCAGATGTAAGACTTCTAACATTTCTACCTATGATAGAGACTACTAACACAAAAATCTAGGCCGGCTATAAGATTCGTTTTCGCGGAAGCCTCGAACGGACTAGGAGGCACACGTCTTAGAGGGCTCTGCTAGAGATGGCACACCCCAAGGCAACCGCGTTAGTGCGAATCTACTACGCTGGCATCTAAGGATACGTATCTACCGTAACATGAAAGCAAATGCTGAGCCTCAGCCCCTGTGGGAAGAAGATTTAGGGGAGGAAAATATGGGCCAGATTCTCGAACATCAAGATGCGGCTGAGAGAATAGAAGTGGAAATGTTCACGCGCCTTTGGGGTTTCGTGGCTTAGATGCCACAGGCAGTCTTTTCTCAGCCTCATTGACTGGTCTATTCCGCTAAGTACTAAAGCCTTCGCCTTTGTGTCCCCAACGGCAACTCAAAGATCCCTCATGTGTATTCCCTCGCCTCTTTTCAGTCCTTTTAGACGCAATGAATGCAAGTTATATGACAATCTCAGCAAATCGCAGTCAGGGAATCATGAAGTTTTCTAAGATCTCCCGGACAAATGCACCTTTATCAGAAACACCAAGAACAACGGTTGACAAATATCTACAATGGGAAATTGAACAAATGTTTGTTCATTGAATGCAAGCGCCCTGGCACCTAGAGCCAGTCAGAAGATGCTAACAGGTGGAATTGCCTCTGTCGTGATGGAGGGAAACTGTGTTATCACCAAAGTCTACGTAGGTATGATAGACTGTGGGACCCTTTTTTTGATGAGAGCCAGGTCGATACGAGTGAGAGCTATATCTTACCGTTCGTTCTTTGATGTTTTCAGAGCGAAAAGCAGCTACAAATAAGGTCTTGTGTATGGGTTAATATCTTTCGCTATCTCCGGGTAGATTAGAATGAAGATAATCTCATTATCTGACCTGGTCGTGGGCCTAGTTTCTATCGTCCATATTATCTAATAGCAAAACTATGATTGAAACGTCTATGTCTAGTGGTTCATCTCTAGAATCATCCTGCAAGGGAAAGAATCGAACGGAGTAAATAAAGCTAAATGTAGAAAACGAAAGTTCCAGGAAGGTACGCTACGAAAATCAATTTACAGCTGAGAAGTCGGGGACTCTGCCCCGGTAATATAGCATAACACAGCTTTCAGCGCCTATGAAAAAGGAGTGGAGGTCCGGAAGATGGTTGTACAGACAATCGGACCATACATACCTCTGCCTCTGCATAACAGTCAAGATGTAGACAGGCTGTGTCACAACATAGAATAGAATAGGTCCAACAAGCATTGTATAGCGGTGACAACGTTAACATGTTAGCCTGCTACTATCCTTTTTTTGTCTCCTAGAGGGCTTAAAAGGGAGCAGGCGCTTAAACAACGGTTCAATGGCGTAGTAAGTCCAGCGGCTCAAATATGCGAGTATACAGCGGCAAGACAAATGATTGGATATTATTTGACAACTACCTATTTCTTATTTGAGGCTTTGTTAGAACTGCGAGCGAGGTTAATGAATGATATATTTGCTTTGGACTCTGCATAGGCGTTATCATCCTTCTGCTGCTATCAAGATCTACCTGCCTGCTCAATTCGAACAAAATGGCCACCCGCAACCCCCTCACTCCACGATAACCTAGGCTTTCTCTCCTCACTACGAGCAGCAAGGCAATCAAACGACCTGCCAGGCACAGTCCACTTCATGTACACAGTAGTGGCAGCATATTTCCACGGCCAGGAGGGCTATATATTGCAAGTCACCGGCAATATACCAGATACTATTTACATGGAACTGAAGCAGATAATCCTAGGCCACAACTTCCCACCAGAATGGACCGAGCGTCAAATCTTCTTGGTCGAATGCAAGCCTCCAACCAGCGAATTTCCAGTGGAATTAGACGATAACACTTTTTCACACCAGGTTTGGAATGAGCCTTCTACAAGGATGTACGGCACTATTGCTATCGGCAGGAAAGTGAAATTCTACACATTCAATGGAACAGCAGTACCGGGCCAGAGAGTGTCGCAGTACTGGTATCCTCAATGTGGAGACTGAGCATAGTCTCTTCCAGGTTGATGGAGGGTATCAAAGCACATGGGTGGGGGTGGGTTAGTCCTGAGAGGACGCATCCATGATACATCTACGCCATTGTTTGGGAGATTGCGTTTGGCTAGTGGCTGGGTTAAGGTGGGCGACGAGCATGGGTAATGACAATTTGCTGATATGGTGATTTTAGCGTGTCCGTATAACTCTATAGTGTACGGAGTACACACCGAAATACGGAGAACATGTAGTGTTACAGTTCTAAGTTAATTATTGTGAAGTTCTAGCGCACGTCCCCAGCTGAACTCAACTTGTCTCTTATCTTTGGCTACCGTTAGAGAGAACACGACATTATCTCCAGCATTCCGGTTAAACGGAATCAGGAAATAACGGTTCGGGCACAGACAACCCATGCAACCAGTTCCATGTAACCCTCTGCTCATAAAGGATTAGTGTACGGTAACAGGAAGGCGTATAATATATGGACTACGCTAGTCAGGCTAGCGACCGACTAGCGGGTAACCGGCTAGTCGAGGAGACTACTCCGTAGATGGATACAGTACACCGAGAACTAGTCTCAAAGAACAAGGAAAGTAGCATGCCCCATTTTCGTGTCTCGGGTTCGCATTCCACAGAAATTGGGTCGGTCCCGTCAAAAGCCCCAGAGGCATGTCCCAAATTATCAAATTGCCAACTTGCCAAGACTCGTAGGGTCTTGGTTCAAGGTTGAGTGGATTGATGAGGCGCCGCGATACACATATTGGCACGCTAGAGACATAGCCGAATCAGCCAAGGACCCTTGGCCCACTGTTGAAACAGGCCAATTGGGGGTGTCTTAGACCCTGTGACGCAGTGAAGAGTCTGCGGAAAATGCCGACTTACGTCAGTTGGGAGAGGGACTCCATAAGTGTTAACTTAGTGTACTTTATGTAGTGAGTCTAAGTAAAGTTAGTGTACTTAGCACCTAGGTAAGGTATTTTGGTGGAAGTGCAAATATTGATGTGTGACTGTATTGGTACTGTATGGGGGTACCCTGAAAATTAGTCTGTAATTTATTGTTCTATTTACATGTTTGCATACCACAAAGATGTTCTAACATTACTCCGTATCCGTTAGATGTTTATGAAGAATGAACATGAGGTCATGCAAATCATGGATTCATGGGAGATCAACTTATTCTTGACAAAAAGAGCAAAGATCTGAACACTTTATACACAGGGGAAGAGTGCTGGACCCTGTTTGGCGCAACCCTGCGATCTCCGTCAATTCTTTCCCCTTTGGGTGCTATGCGGGGGCCTCTAGGGGGAATTCCCAGGTACTTCCGGGAAACTTGTCCCCTGCTGGGCCCCGTTACCCTGCATCAGGTACCCAGCAGGTACCAGCCAGGTTTCAAAAGGAATGCTCGGAGAAACAACTTCGGAAGTGTCTTCCCTTTTCTCTCAGGCTAAACACTGTAATTCCCTTTCTTTACTCTTTTCCATTGGTGCTGGCAACCAAATTACGGAGCCTTGTCATTTCACTTCTCTTATTTTCAGACGATGAGCTTGCAACCAACTGGTTCTCGTTCATCCCTACCTTGAGGGCCTCCGCGGTCGCTCTCTTTGGAGTCACTTATCTCGGGAATCTCCGATCGTCATATAACATGTCTTCTCACAGACTCAGGGCGACATCGCCCCTCCTGCTGATCGTGCTACTCCAAACCGTTTCGGCTCAGTTCTGCTCATTCTGGAATAATGGCTGCATCGACTCTCTCGCTCAGACGGCGATCCGCTTCGATCTTCAACCACTCTTCCCGGATCCCGTCACGCTGTATTATGGTTTCGACGCGAGTGCATCAGGCAAGGGCGAAGGCCCAATGACCAAGACGGCGTTTTGGCTGGGGTATCAGAACAACGTCAACAGGGACGCTGTCGATTCGAATCGGACGTCCGAGATTGGGATGCGCGTGGGGAATCTGACCGGCACGCCGTCCGGGACGAATAATGGCTGTGATGGGATCTGGGGGCCTGATTGCTCCTCTGAGTTGAAGGGTGTGTTGCAGCGGAGTATGTATCACCTCGCTGTGTCGGGTGATTACTATTCGAAGCCGCTGGAGGTTGCTCTCAATCAGATGTTGATGAGGCCACCACCGCTTCCTTCTTGTCCCCCGCCTGTTCTTGATGTCGCGTCTATTCCCGTGCAGGGTATGTTCGATTCTTGACTCTCCCACCTGTATGTGTTACTGACCCCCACGCTAGATTTCGCTAAAGAGCGCGTCCCCGATCAGAATGTTACCTTGATGCCACCTGGCTCTGGTGCCTTTCCGTGGCAGGTGTGGTATATCGATGGCATGAACGCCCGCCAGCAGGCCAATCAGGTCGCTGTTGGAATCATTAGTCGGGGTCCTTCGTATAACAGTGCACCGCCCGATAGCCCAGACGATATTATGGTCGAGCTTGTTTGTCTTCAGGCTCCTTCGAGTGGATCATCCAAGAGCGGCCATGATTAGTTGTCCCCGGGAGGGATGGTCTGTGATCATCCTCGGTATTTTTTCCTTTATCCTCTCTAGTGCTCGGTGGGCATAGGCCGGCGCCAGGTACTCCAGGCACTCATTCGGTTTCTTCCATTGGTCTTCGGCTCCGCTTACCTCATGCTATACGCATGACGAGGGCTTCGCCATTTCTCCCCGATGCTGTCTACGTCTCGGTCTCAGATCCTACGGGACAGGTATGCGACCGGCAATCACTACTTGATTGAAATGGATCATCTGGCCAGATTGCCTATTTGATTCAATGCATGGGGAAACTAAGAGACGTGATGTTCTGTATACTCAGTACCAAAACATGTCCATGGCATTCCCTCCTTGAGAAGGCCTTCGAACTATCGTCGCCAAGCAGCCCACGATAGTCCAACCTCCGCCCACCTCAAAATGTTGGCAATGCCATATCAACAGGCTTCAAATCCCCAGGCCCTCGAAAGTCCTCAAGGATATCCGCCTGCTCATTCAAAAGATGCCGCTCCGTCTGAATCCCCAACCTCGCTAACCCACGCCACCTCTCCATATCATCCGGATTCCGCTTATCACCGTGGGCATCTTCGGCATTGTTCCAATGCCCCTTTGAAAATCCCAACAATGTGGTGATCTTCTTGTTCGGGATATCATATACCAATGAAACAATCGTGCCCGTCTCCTCGAGCCAGTTGCACTGCCACAGCTCGCCAGGTCGAATGCATTGGTACTCGGCTGTTTGGAAGTTTATTCGTCCGGCCATTGGCCCGCCGTGGATTGCATAGTTGATCCGCTCGGCGTTCTCGAACCAAATCTCGTACCGCCATTTCTCTGGATTGCTATCCTTGTCTTCTGCGGCGTACTCGTAGATCAAATGGCGATCGCGCAGGTCGGCGTTGAAGGTTGAGCCTTCGAGGGATGGGTGAACGGGCATCTTGATGCGTGGTTGTTGCAGTTGGAATGAAACCCAGATATATTCTAGAATTCCGACGAGAAGCGTCTTGTCTTGTCTTGTGTTATTTTATTCATATATCCAAATGCTATATAGCGCTCTATCCAAATCCAAATCCTCACCGTTAATCGTCATAAAACCTGCTCTAACACCCTTCATACAAACTTGGCAAAAGAGTGGATTACCCGCCCTTTCGAGTTAAGTTCAGTATTCCCAATCCGTCCAAGTAAACATCAAGTAAACATCTTGTGTAGCCTTCCCCTTATAGAGCTCCAACGCGGAGATTTATATGCCAATCACTTATCAATGTTACTATGACATACCCTATTCACCCCTTACCTCCACACTAAAAACATTAAAAACCTGTCTTGGGGTGTTGATCGCTTAAATAGAATTATAGATTCGATCTTACTACATCGATACTTTCTGTGTTCTTCCCGCTGCAGCAATAGATGACATCATGACCCATGCTCCGGGTTTGATCTGCAGTATTTGCATGAGATATTAGCCGAGTTCAGGAGCCGGGGTTTGGTTGGGTTTAATTTGGGTTTTACGGGGATTTTATTTGACTTTGTGTTGTCGATACCGCTTCAAAGGTTATTTCTATATGTTTTACGGAGTGACGTTGGATGTACATGTATAGATCTAGATATGTTTCCCGGCCCTTGCAAATATTCTCGAGTCCCAGTCCGGGTCGTTACTAGGGACAGGACCTTCATGATTATTATAACTCTTAAATCTGTGGTTGATAAACTTACCATGCGCGTATCCGTATTGAGGATGAGTGGTGACTGATCTCAAGACACCATATCATTGATGAAATCCTCCTTGGTCAGGTCTGAGTCGGAATTTGCTGCAGGTTCCATGATGAGTCAAGACGGAGTATCAGTCAAAAGATCAAGAATTGCACTTATCGAAGGGAAAGAGAGCTGAGTAGTTGGTGTTGAAGAAGCTTTCTTTGAAGGTTGATGGAACGGGTTCCTTGTGATTGTTGGCTTATTTATATGGTGATGAGAGGTTACCGGAAATACCTATTGGCCAGAGAGATCTTCATAGAGCGAACTTATAGAGCTTGATTTAGCTGGGCAGCAAGAGATGCCTAGAAGCCTGAAGAATCTGGGTTTATGTTTATAACCTCTCTAGCGTCTGTAATGAACGGGCTGAGATATAGATGGCAGAGTGCATCTTCTTTAAACAGAGATAATACAATATGTCACTATTATTACTAGATTAAGAATGATGTGTAGTATGGAAATCGGAACTATTTCTCGTGAGTCATGTACATGAATATAGCTCTTGGAGGTAGCTACTAATCTATAGGCATCTAGTTGCGTAAGTGAGGATGGTTTTGACTCATATAACATAAGCTTGGTGGGCTATTCATCGAACGGGTTCCATAACTCAGTTGGTTAGAGTGTGGTGCTAATAACGCCAAAGTCGAGGGTTCGACCCCCTCTGGAACCACGATTTCTTTTTTTTTTTCCAAAAAAAAAAACTATAATTCCAATATAGGGAATTACTGCTATAACGCCCGGGCCGCTTGCCATAAGAATCACATTTTCATAACGGTTCACTGGATCGCTAATGCTACGTGGACCACTATATAATGCCATTAGAGGCAGGAAACCCCCTATCTTGACTGAGAGCGTTTTTATAATTGTATAAGATCGTCATGCCGAACACCGACACCCCAATGCGCCCCTTACATCGTACACCGGCATTCCGAGCGCCATTAACCATGACCAAAGCCTTATGAGGCATCTACTAGCGCTGTAGCCCGCGGCGCTAGACCAAAAAAAAAAAAAAAAACCAAGCAAGACTCGGTATTACACACCTTAGACCTGCACCATGCTGAGCGCACCGGGCTCGATGTGAAGGTATGGAATGTGTATCGGCGTCTCGACTTTATATACGCCGACTCTTATTATATAGCTCACCTTGCCGGCCTCCAAGGCTGTATATTATTTTCCGTGGTCTAATTGATCCAGCGCCAAAGGGAGTGTGGGGAAACTATAAAAACCTTGAACCTTGGAAGTCAGGCGGACGGATGACTGTAACATAGTCTTTCTCTGGAAAAAAAGAAAAAGAGTGGTTCCAGAGGGGGTCGAACCCTCGACTTTGGCGTTATTAGCACCACACTCTAACCAACTGAGTTATGGAACCATTCGTTGGTTTTTGACATTCTTGTGAATTCCTATGATTCCAAAAATCGATCTACAATGTAAGTGCATTAGTAATACCGTACATGGGTGGTTCAAAAGTATTTACCCACCACTTTTTTCGGGTCCCCATGCAAAATATATATATCACTTACACTGTATATAGCACCACCATTTTATGGACTATAATAATGAGGTTTAATTTATTGAAATGCTTAATAACAGCACAATAAAATTTTTGCTTAATATTTTGTATAAGACCCCTTAGCCTTCCGTACTGCCTTCAAACGTCTTCCTATGCTTAATATTATCGCATCTATATTTGCCTGATCCAAAAAAAAGCCTTCTAAGCTTCCACTAGACATTTTTTAAAATAATGCTAGGCTGCCTCCGACCTTCCTATGCTAATAAGCTCCGGAAATAATGCCAAAAGTTTCACTTTTAACTAGCGCTATACCGATTCGATTGGGTTTAAATCGGGTGAGTGCGCGGGCCAATCCTCGACGTATACTCTATAAGTTTTAAACTACTCTTTCGTGTCCTTCGCTAGATAAATCATCGCGTTATCTTGCTGAAATACTAAATTAGGGGTGTAGATTGGTATTAGACCCTTTTCGAGCGTCGAAATATACGATTTTAAAGTATAACCCCCTCCCCGAAGGCGATTCTTCGTCCCGTTCTATAATAATTAATTCTATCCGACCACCTAGCTAGATTCTAGCCTAAACTATTTACGAAATATCTTTTACATAAGCCTTAGTATTTATAAGATCTTTTTAAAGGCCCTCCGAGATCGTATAGAAGCATTATTGTGGTCTAAAGTTCGAGGTTCGCTATACCGAACACTCGTTGTAACGAAGTCCTCAGAAGACATGCACAAGTCTGTCGCACTCACGAAGGATCGACACCACACAGGTATCGACACTTCAGTGTTGGCTCACCGTAACGCTGATCCCCCATGTTATATAAGTCTGCCCCGGAGAACCCAGAGGTTCTCCAAGAATCAGTCTCTGTATTCTCTCAATATACTACTTGCTCCAGGCATCTTCATCTTACCTAGTTGACAGGCTCTATCCTGTAAACACTACAACCCCATTTCTTACACTCGTCCGAAAAGACCCACGATTAAAAGCTTTCCCGCCGCTATTTTCTCGTAAAAAATAGCCACCTTCTTACGAGAGAGGGCTTAATTAGTCTTCTACTTTAAGCGCTATTTTGACAATCCGAATTGCTTTAAAACTCGCTATATAGTAGACCGAGACGGATAACTGGGTGTCGTAGCACTAAGCTATTTATAGATATAAAATGGGTGCCGGCGCGCTTATAAATAGAGAAATATGTAAGCTCGAGAGTCTAGCTTCGAAGGACGGCCGGTTCGAGAAAGGGACTAGATCGATTTATACTCCTCGAAGCGCTTAAGCGTATTGTAAATAGTCTTGCGGGTGCAGCTAAAATTATTAGCTAGTTTTGACTGCGAAATACCATTCTTGTAAGCATAGATAATAGCTGACCTTTTCTTAGGGGTTAATTCAGCCTTTCTCCTACGTTTTGGGCCAATTTCCATTAGAATCGGATGCGTAGGGGTGGTGTAGGAAGAAAAATAAAATGGTAGGTTGGTTGCCGGGTCAAAATTGAAGTAGGGGTAGTGGGTAAATACTTTTGACCAATATCTGGTATTTACCTTTTTTTTTTTTTT